CAGCTGTTGTGTCGTGATGGCTATGAGCTCCTGTTTCAGCTGATGGGTACTGAACCTAGAATCTTCTTCAACCAGCTTCAAGAGATAGTCATCATTGAGCTCAGCTAGTCTCCTAAATAGTGGTTCTTCGGTCCAGTCAAAGTGGCCATTTTTGAACTTCTTGTACCAACTTCTTGATGTGCTATTAGAGACAATGAATGGTCCTATCGCGTCGCATATTCCCCCTGTCGCTCAATTTGGATTAACGTTTTTCTGAACTCATGAAGAAAAGATAATCTGACTAGCTTTGAGTCGAGAGCGATTCTTGCAGCCATAACCGTTGCGAAATGCTACGGCACATATGGTGTGGAGAGCGCATTGACCTGCACTTACACATATTCCGCAGTGAAGGCTCTAGAGCAATCCCCAAAGATTTCACAACATGGAAACCAAAATGCGCAAATACTTTTCCGACAACCTAATACTTCCTTTAGGGTACTGAGTCCTTCGAGGCTGAAGTTTTGCCTACAACTCGCCATCCTTATGAGACTCAGCGTAGCGTGCATCGGTGAATTAAGAGCGATTCAAAAAGTATCGAAGCAAAGCAAGCCTCCAGATTGTAGGACTTTTTTAATACAATAGAATGCTCTTCAATATATCCAAAAAAGGAGCCAAAATCATATTCAGTTCTCGAAGCTGAGAAAAACTGGGAGGTTTATTGGTTGCCTCCAAACTTCGAACATGTCCGGAGGTGGCCAGGTCATATAGAACTTTACGCGACCAGATTTTTTTTACTGACTAGAGCAGCATACGATCGTGCGAGTCCGAAATCGAGTATGTGTACAAGGCGAGCTCTTTCATAATCATCTCTGTGTCCCATCACGAAATTGTTTGGTTTGATGTCACGATGAATATAGCCATGGTCATGTACCAGCTTGACACTAAATGTAGTAGTTTTATATGGCTGTGATCCGCGGAAATGGCAATCTCAGAGTCGCTACCTGTATAAGCACTGAACTGCCAGGCGGCTCCATGTTTTGGGTGACATCAATTCGTTTGGGCAACTAAGCTGAAAGTTACAAGAGTGAGTCTGGGTTATGCCTCCAATTGTTAAGTTTTTTGTTGCCGATAAGTTGTTGTCACCATTGCTTACTTCATTCACTTTTTTTGCTCGTTGGCTGGTAATGTAAACAAACAAACAGATAAAGGCAAATCATCTTCCAGCCATCAGCAAACAATGTTTGCCGGTCTGCAACCAAGCAAAGTAATATCATCGTATTGTTCGGTACTCTGGATAGAAGCGCGTCGCGGTCCCGCCGGCACCGAGTTCGGCAAGCAGCAGGGAATGCTACCGTCTCCTTCATTGCATCATCTCTAACGTCACAATCGCCGCCTTTCATCGTCATGCCAATTGCATCAACAACGACGACATCGCCTTCAACGCAAATCCATCTAAATCCATTGCAATTCTACTGTTTCCACTTAACTGTTCCATGCTGTTAGCACCGCAACAACTATCACGAGGAAAGGAACATCCAGGAGTTCGACTGGCAACTGTCGTGGACGGGTTGGATGCTGCTGTGCTGTAGGGGGTTTGACCCTTGGAAGTTTTTAAGAGAGCATGAACATGGATCGAACCTGTCAGAAGGCCTTGTGCATATAAATAAGTAATTAATTATTACTTTTGTCGTGGTTGATTATTGCATTAGCCGCACCTATTAAATTATTTCTTCCCTTTTGTTTGTTTGCTATACGATTTTGTAAGTAGTCGTGGGGTAGGGTCTAATCGTCACGTCAATACGTTAGTCGTTCGGGCCTCCTAACATTAAAAACAACGCCATGCGTACGGGACTGGTTGGTAATCCGGCTAGACAAGAGTCAAATTCTGACCATTGAGCACGTTCCGCACGAAACAGGCAATCTAAGTGCTAGCGAACGCAGTAACATGCTTAGGAACGGCTCGGAAGACTGGCCAAACAAGCCCAAGTGGCGGGGGAACTGCCCCTGCAAAGATTACGGTGGCACGACTGCTGCCCTTCTCTCTACAAACAGCTATAGCAGAGAGCCCACAGTCGCTGAGACTACACTGTAGGAGATATGTTTTACAAGTTTAGCGACAACCGTTCTGTCTCACGAGACGATGTCAGATGTCACTCAGTGCTGCGAGACGGACATTACATATTACTTCAATCAAAATATGTGTGCCCATTTCGTTTTTTGTGCAGAATTTCAATTTAGGCTCAGAAGTGTATCGTGCACCGGCCAGCTATCAACTGTATTCGAAGACCAATATTCAACTTTCATCAACAACTAACAATCATGAATAGTTTGGAAACAATATGGGCAGCAAAATTCATTACATTTTCTGCATTTTGATTTAGTCCTCTTGTCCAGGCTCCTCGCGATCTACCTGCCTAATGTAGCGGGCTACAGCAGTTGGAGCATACTTTCTGTCTTTAGCCTCCGCATTTGGTTCACTCATCAGCCTCCGCATTTGGTTCACTCATCAGCTTCCGCTTGCGTATTCTCGAACTGCTCGTTTGTGTGTCGTTGAAGCTCTTTCACAGCAAGTCATCCACAATCAACTCTTTGAAGTAGTTTATCTTGATTTTCCTGATCTTCTCGCAATGTAAAAAAAAGCATTGACTAAGGCAGTCTGGGTTACGAGATGGAAAACAGTCGAATATAACATTTAGCTGTATTTCGCACTAACGGAGTATAGGCAGTCATCTGGCCATTATCAACGGATTCCTTCATCGTGTTATAATCGACAACAACCGAAGGCTTGCCGATCGGGTGTAGGCTGGCGTCATATGTCGTAGAAATCATATGAATGTCTTTCTGTCTTTCCATTTCAAAATTAGCACTCCTTCCAGGTTCTGCTGATAAATTAACTCTCCTCTGCAGTTTGGATGATTCGGGGTCTTTTTGAGAAGATTGTGAGCAAGCGGCAAACTGCTGTATCAGTTACCAATGCAAATGCAACGTCCTTGCACAAGTAAACCATCCATCAACTCAATGAGCTTCTGCCTCTGCACCTACAGCTTCTGCCACACTGGTTATCCTTCGGATCATCTCCAGCTTTAACTTCGACCTTCGGAGTATAGCCAACACGAGAGCAGAGCCTAAAAAGTTTGATTCCAGATCGGTGACGCTTTATCACATTGTACTGCCAAAACGAGGCGCGACCCCTGATGGCACCATCGATCTGTCGATGCACAGTTCCCCTGCAGGTCTATACATAGCTTGAAAATGGTTATTCAATTAATCGAGAACAGGCTGCAGCTTGTAAAGCTTATCCGCCCTGATGGCAGCAGCGTTGTCGACAAAATGGAAATGCTTTTGGACCTCTTCAAACCGATATCTGGTCATGAAATCTCGGCGATCGAATATCCATTTCTGGCTAAGTTTCGAGGTTTCAGCGACCAGTAATTACGCTGATTATCAAACGGATAGCAGGACAACTGTAAACAGCGGCCGAAGAATCTTCTCAGTTCGTCTGTGTAGGTAACAATCCAATTATGGTGTTTTTGCCATCCTTAGACGAGTTTTCTCTCAAGCAGTTCTTCAGAGAAAAACAGCTCGTAAAAATGGAGAGGCATCTCGCAGTTATCCACCTCTGGACCGGTTCCAACGGGCTCTGGTAAGGTACATCTATCATACCTTTGAGCATCGTTCACCCTTAAATTATCCACTCCTTTGTCGTATCCATCATATGAGATTTAAGTATCCGAATCATCAGTGTCAGGAACAACGGCAGGAGCCATTAAAAACCACCTGGAGCTTCATCATCGCTGTCCTAGCGAGCAGAGACTTGTCAGAACTTTCGTTGAAGTCTTCCATTTCGATGTCCGCGACACTCATGACGGCAAGAAAACTCACGAAGACAATAATCCTCGCAGAGATCCTACTTATACACCATAAATTCAAATATATCACCGCCAAATTTGAAGTTACCCCGAGTTGCCACACATGTTGGGCAAAATTTGAACTGCTGGATGGTCTGCAAACATTCGCTCGTACCATTTGTTTTCAAATGACTTTGACTGTAATCACTCATTTTTTCTTGGGAGAAACAAGTTTTCAAGAAAGAAGCTGTCTCGTCATATGCGACAGTCACGAAAAAATTGGCTTGTCGTCAATGTGTAAAGACCTAAATCTGATAATGCCCAATTTGGTTCACTGAACCTTTCCATAAAATAAGCGACTTAGGCTTAAGCGGTTACCTTAAGAGATTTTAGATTCTCTCCTAGAAGAGTCATGACTATGTAGCAGTACTTCGTGTGTTTTGCGGCGTGAT